GGCAGTAATAGCATAGAGAAGACAAGTACTGACTCTATAGCATTTTAATACACTGATGGACAGTGACTGTAATGGGATATGTGGTGGGTACTTGATAATGGGGGGAATCTCGTAACCACAATGTTGCTCATGTAATTCTATATTAATAATATAAAAAAAACTCTCAAAAGAAAATACAGGCAAAAGTCTCTTGAACATAAACATGAGCAACTTTATCCTGAACATGTCTCCTTGGGTAAGGGACACAAAATCAAAAATGAAGTGAGACTACATCAAACTAAAAAGCTTCTGTACAGCAAAGGACACCATCAATAGAACAAAAAGGCATCCTACAGTATGGGAGAATATATTTGTAAATGACTCATGTGATAAAGGGTTAACATCCAAAATATTTAAAGAACTCATATGCCTCAACACCCAAAAAACAAAAATCTTGATCAAAAACTGGGGGGAGGACCTGAACAGAACACTTACCCAAAGAAGAAATACAAATGGCCAATAGACACATGAAAAGATGCTCTACATTGTTAATCATCAGGGGAATGCAAATTAAAACCACAATGAGATGTCCCCTCACACCAGTTAGGATGGCCACTATCCAAAAGACAAGAAATAACAAGTGCTAGCAAGGGTCCGGAGAAATAGGAACCCTCTTACACTGCCGGTGGGACTGCAAATTGGTGCAACTGGTGTGGAAAGCAGTATGGAGGTTCCTCAAAAAAGCTAAATATAGAAATACCATTTGACACAGTCATTCCACTTCTAGGAATTTACCCAAAGAAAACAAAGTCCCTGATTCGAAAGATACATACACCCCTACATTTATCACCATACTGTTTGCAATAGCCAAGATACGGAAGCTACCTAAAGTGTCCATTCATAGACGAAGATGTGACACATATGTGGATTATTTAGCCATAAAAAGAAAAGAAATCCTGTCATTTACAACACCATGGATGGTTCTAGACGGTATTATGCTCAGTGAAATAAGCCAGGTGAAGAAAGACAAATACCATATGATTTCACTTATTTGTGGAATATAAAAAAAAAGCAAAACAGAAGGAACAAAACAGCATTAGACTCATAAATACTGAGAAGTGACTAGTGGTTACTAAGAGGAGGAGTGGGGTGGGAAGAGGGGGAGGGGGACTGTTGAACCACTGTGATGTAAGTTTAAATATAAAAAAAACTAGAATTAAAATATTAAGGAGCTCATTTACCACATGACTATATGTGGAAGTAAAAAAAATATTTAACCAAAAGCATACATGAAAATAATCACAGAATAGGAAGCAGTCCCAAGACATTGTGGCCCTACGCACTACAAACACTCTAACAAAATTATAGAGACAATAATAGTAGTAACCACCAGGAATCATTAAACGTGTACTCAGCAATGACTTATCTTCAGTACATTTCAGATTCTGTCTAGTCCATGACCCAGACCCAAATTTAGATATATAGGAAAAGTAATAATGGGAAAAATAGAAAAGTTTCTATGAAAGGTCTTTTACCTGATCAGAACAGAAGAGATTCATTAATGCCCATGACTAAAAAGGACCGATGATTTTATCCATTTTATAGAAAAGGGAGAAATCTCTAGAAGATTCCAAGTCTACCTTTTTACATCTACTTGCTAAAACGAACAGTTAGGAAATCATTAAGGTATGCTTGCATATCAACATTTTTGAAATACGCTGGAAGAAGCTACTCAAAATGCTGCCTAAGCTTTCTCTTAATATAAAGAGTATTGAGGAAATACTATAACATTTCTAAAATGTACAGTCAACACATAAGATTAAAACAGAAGTTATAAGCATTATACTTTGAGGTGACATTAAATTCAGATTCACAAAAAAGAAATAACACTTAAACTGGGATAAGAAAAGCTATATTCTAAAATGTACATTGGTCAAAATTATGCTAACTGAATCCTCCCACATTCAAGGCCAAGGTTATACTGTGGATAAGTAGTGTTTCTCAAAATAAAGAAATGAAGTAATACACATATCAGTGTAATACCTCAATCTAAATACAGAAAGTGAAAAACATTTCTAGAATCCACAAGGAAGAACTTGTATGCTGAATGAAATATAAAACGAATGTAGAATGCTTTCACCTTTAAGGCAAAGCAACAAAGAGGATGGGGGAGAAACAAGGAAAAAACTCAACTTGTAAATGGAGCAATTTTTTTTTAAGGTCAATGTCATAAGTCAAAAAAGAAAATCATAAGCTAGAGAGTTCTTCTGAAGAACTGTAGATTTAATAAAACTATAAGCAAAACCTATTACATGCAATTTGAGCCAGATGGAAAGCAACACAAAGAAGAAACAGAGTAAGTCTTGTAGCCAAATGAGTATCTCATGAAAAGTAAACTGGTGCCATCTCCATCACAAAAATCTGGGGATGAGTGTAAGAAAAAAAAAACTATTTTGAGAACAAACAAAAATTTATGTTTACCTGATATTGTGGCTACTCTCAGGAAAAATTAATAGCTTCCCTCCATCTCTAGTATATTTGTGCTCTGGTGCTCAAAAAATAGGATGTCAAATTAAGAGCCCAGGGAAGTTAGTTACAGAAACAAGGGCACTGAAAGCAAACTTTAAACATTTTTAAGCTATCCCACTTTTCTTGTCTTTATTTTCTTCAAGAAACTGTGGAGTCAGTTTGCCAACTTGCTACCTGTTCAAAACTGGACAAGTCACTCATTCTCTTTATCTAAAGTTCCTCCTCTGTAAAATGGACATAATAACTTCACAGGGTTTTTGTGAGGACTAAGTAATTTAATACTTAAATATTTGTTAAATAAAAGCTAAATATTTATTAGCCCAACCATATGTTATGCTTTGAGTTAATAAAGACAATGCAAAAGGATGCCTGTTTTTAGAAAAGCTTTGTGATGGAGATGAATAAACAATGATTATAAAACAATAATAAATGTGCTAAAATGGAGATGATCAAAGGTTTACTTGAGTACAGAAATAGGCCACTTAACTTTGCCACATCCTCATCAGACCCAGAGTGTTCACAATGATGCCCTTCCTCACAGGAAATAAACTTGCTGACAAAATTTACCCAACTCCCATGAGAGTAAATGAGAAAGGGCCTACCTTTGTTTAGCTAAGAGAAGCCTGTCACAAAGAACAAATTAGACAACACAGGTAACAAGGTGACAATCTCCACTTGGAACTCAAAAAGAAACTTATTTTTTCCCTCTCTACGTTCAAATGTCAGGGTCTACAAGTGTCCTCAATATCACTTTCACTGTATATAAAATATAATCTAAAGCTTGACCACCAGGCACTTCCAGAAAACATGGTTTTAAAATTTTCTCATGATTAAGTCAAAATGAAAATTCAAAAGTGTCTCTTTCTGAGAGTATACTCTCTCCATACACTTGGCCAATATTTTCATTCTAGCCTTTGTGATTTTTTTTAGTTTTGCCCCTCAAGGTTAAGGTTAAGAGAGGCCGTGTTAAATATGATGGGCCTCTAGTGAAACCTCCAAAAATCACTAGCTTAAACATAAAACACTAATACCTGGTAAAGTTTTATTTCCCCCAACTTCAGAAGTAGATTTAAAAAAAAGGATTAGGCTCCCTTATCTAGATGTCTTTAGAGCACCCTAGTGACTATTTCTTGATTCTCAGTCTTTAGGTCACAAGATTCTACTCTAGCAATTGAAAGGCCCCTTTGCTTCCCCTCCAAAACCATTGCCAAATAGGTTGCTCTTCTTTTTGGTGCCTTCTAACAGACCCATGTCTTACAGAAAAGGGGAATGGAATTGCAAAAACAATGGTCAGAAATCTGATCTTCATGCTATAATTCTCTCTAGCTCATCTGAGATCCATAAGCAAGGACCACCTTAAAAACTGCCTGCCCTATTTCCAAAAGGCAGGGAAAATTCAGGTAAACAACAATAATTAACTGCCATCTTGCTCTGCCTCATTTTATAGCCTAGGTCTTCAGAAAACAAAAGAAAACATTTCAAATGAGAATATAAATAAAATATCCATATTTTGACCATTTCTTATAAATGTGACTTCAAAAAAAGAACGTTAAAAATCTAAGATATACCACATTTCAGCAAAATTATTCCTTCCCAATTTTTAAAAAAACTTTTCCATATGTCCAGACTTTAGGTTCAAAACTGGAGTTTTCTTGGCCAAAACTCTTAAACCATGTGAGACAGCTGTCTCTAGATTGTACGGCAACAGTTCTTTAAATGGGTTGCAAGAGACCATTCAGGACCTGATACAATTCAAATGGGGAGGATAACATTTTAGTATATTATCCATATTTTAATGCTTAATATGAATGACTTTTACCCTATTAGTTTCTTTGTACACTGTTTTAATATATAAGGCTTATCTTTATCTATCTGAAGATTTAAACTCATGTGAATAAGAAAAACACATCAAGTGTTTTTAGAGGACAATAAGGAAGCCTTTAGAGCTTGGTTCACATCATAACTGGTAGCATTCTGAGCATTCACTTTATTACATAATATATACCACGTGTATAAATGTTTACATACAGATGCTCTCATATATATTTATGTGATTAATACATTCACACAAACATAAAATCATGTGAAATATTCCAGCTTTCTCCAGTTAAAGTTTGTAAGTCACTAAGTCACTTTTATTGTTCTAAAAATGTAAACATGATTTAGGGAAGGTTCATTAGAGTTTTCAGCCCACTTGATTTTCTTCATTAAGCAATAGAGCAGTGATTTTTCTTTACCATTCCTGCAGTGCTTTCATATAACCACTAGCTTTCCCACTGACCCCATAGCCTGCTTCAAGGAATTTTTCCTGCCCTGTGGGCCCCAGGAACAGGATAGGAAAAGGAAAGAGGGAAGTAAATGACATCACCTCAATTACATGGTATATTTGCATGTTTTAAGACAATATTATATACTGGGGGACTATTCAAGAAAAAGGGAAATGACTGTTGACATGTTGCTGATCTATTAAAGGTAAGAATAAAGACACTTACCTGTTGTTCCTGCATTCTAGAAGCACCCAGTTCTGAGAGAGACATGGTGAGTTTCTCTTGCTGCTCTGATAGATATTTCTGGTAGAGGCTAAGAAGTTCTTGGCATTCTCTATATTGTAGCTGAAGAGGTGAGATTGAAAATTAAGGGAAAAAAGCTAATCAACTGATTAAAGCTGCATCCACCAATGTTTTTCAGATTCCAATAAACAAAACAGAGACAGAAATATAACCATCTTAGATAAGAGTGTAAGTAAGTATAGACATCAGATGAACATGGTATATGTATCCACCAAAAAAATCATGAAACAATAATTCACAAAGAGAGTAGCAATGGCAATCCCATTTGAGAAGAAACTTATCAAACCTTTATAGTTGAGTAAATAAAAATACATATGCAAATGAAGTTGGACCCCTACCTTATACCATATACAAAATACTAACAAAAAATGAATCATTGACCTAAATGTAAAAGCTGAAACTATAACTCTCATAGAAAACAAACTCTGTGATCTTAGATTAGGCAACAGTCACCTGTAAGCACAGCAATCAAATAAAAATAAATTTGACTTCAAAATTAAAAACTTTAGAAAACAAAATCTGATTAGAAAAGATACATGCATTTCTTTGTTCACTGCCACATTATTTACAATAGCCAACACATGGAAGCAATAGATGAATGGATAAAGATGTGGTACATATATACCAAGGGATATTATTCAGCCATGAAAAAGAAAGCTATCTTGCCATTTGTAACAACATGGATGGACCTAGAGTATGCTAAGTGAAATAAGCCAGGAAGAGAAAGACAAATGAATTTAAAAAAACAAAACAAAACAAAATGAACAAAACAGCTGTAGGCTCATAGACACTGAGTAATGACTGGTGGTTACCATGGGGGAGGGGTTGAGATGGGTGGGTGAAATGGGTGAAAGGGATAAAGAGGTACAGAATCTCAATTATATTAGTCACGGGGATGAATGTACACCATAGAGAATACAGTCAATAATTCTCTAACATCTCCCTGTGTTGATAGATAGCAGCTATACCAGTTGGGGCTAGCATTCAATAATGTAGATAACTGTTTAAAAATAAGATACTCAACATCATTAGCCATTAGGGAAATATAAATCACAACCACAATATGAGATGCCACTATATCTACAAGAATGCCTGTAATCAAAGAGACTGGTAATAACAATCACTGACAAAGATGTGGAGAAATCAGAACCCTCCTATACAGCTATGGGAATGTAAACTGGTGCTGCTGATTTGGAAAATTCAGCAGTGCCTCAAAAAGTTAGACAAAGTTATCAAACCACTCAGCAATTCCACTTCTAGGTACCTGTCCAAGAGAATCAAAAATATATGTCCACAGAGAAACTTGTACTTGCATAATCAAAGCAACATTATTTCTATCAGTGAAAATAGAAAAAGTGAAGACAATGCAAATGCCATTAAATGATAAAATGATAACCTAAATGTGGTATATCTATGCAATAGAATATTATTCAATCATAAAAATAAACATTGTATTGCTACATGCAACAATATGACTATATCTTTAATACATTTTGCTGAAGAAGCCAGACACAAAAGGCCACATGTTGTATGATTTCATGTACACTATTACTGATATGGGTTTTTTTTAAGTACCTACTCGCATAAGCCAGGAGAAAGAACACTCAGTTTTAAGCATATTAGACCACAAATACAAGTTACATTCATCTATGTCCACTTTCTGTCCTCTTCTCCAATTTTCTGAAATACCTACTATAGGAAAAAGCTGGGGGGGAAAAAATGCCCAAAATAGGAAAATCCACCTGGACATTAGTGGTTGCCAGTGGCCAGGACAGGGAAATACAGAGCAACTATTACTGGATACAAGTTTGGGGAAACACGTAATGCCCATGCTCTGGAATGACTATGTTCATACAGTTTTGGGAATAGATTCAAAACCACTGAACCACTAATTATATACTTGAAAAGGGTGGATTTTATTGTATGTGAATTATATCTCAATAAAGCTGCTACAAAAACAAATGCAAAGTAATGATACTATTCTGGTAAAAAAAAAAGTTACTGCCTAATTTACAAAGAAAGTTCTAACAACATTAAATATAAAGGTATTATAATTAGATTTTTGTCTTGTTTTGTTTTGCATAGTATCAGTGAAGTCAGTGTTTCATCAATGAAACTACCGTCAGAAAATTTTCTGCGTATATACTTCCCTACATTTTTTACAGTCTAGTATGAGGAACATAACCTAACTTGGGGTACTCACTTCCACCACTCCTGAACTTGTAAAGTGCTGAAGATGAAGATCTTAAAATGGAAAGGTCACCTAACTGTGGTAGATCAGACACCTGAGTGACAGATATTCTATCCAAGGAACTTCTGTTCCTTCTCAGTGTGGTTATTTCCAGGCCCATTTTTCTCTCACATCATTTTTAAAATCCCCACTCCCCTTAATTATGTTTACTGTTCGAATAAAAATTATGTCCAATGAGATTATTCTGTATAAATACTTTTACAACAGTTCGTCATGTTTAAGGGTTGGAACAGTATTTCTTAGATGTCAAAAATGGTGTCCAGTCTCAGTATTCCTTAACATTTTCAAAGCTGAATTATGGCTTCTGGGCAGATTTCTGTTCTAGTAACTTTTGCCAATCATGACTGAATAAATAACTAATTCCTTCATCATTCTCATTATTAACCTTTAAAAAAAAAAGGAGCCAGAGATGGTTTGTAAAAAAGGAGCTTCACTTCTTTCATTTTCATAATGAAAGGATAAGTTACTAAGCTTAAAGAATACATTAATAGACTGTTGAATCTTAGTATTTTAAAAATGACAACAGAATGAGCAATGATCTAAATAAGTTAATATGGTTTCAAAGTCAACCTATGTCAGACCAGGCTGGTTTTACACTGCCATGCTTTCTGGGAGCAAACTGCAAAAGAGGAGAATGATTTATGGTGGTCCCAAGAGTTTCTGCCAGGTATGATGTATAGAAAAATAAATTTTTTATTCTAGCTCTTACCATAGTCAGTAATGTTTATAGTAGGTCAACTTATTAGCCTGGATAGAGAATATGAATTTTACTCTGGAAAAAGCCTGCACAATTATGCAACCTAAGAGTTAAATGTCAGCATTTGAAGACAAATTATAGGCAAATTCATTTAAATACATGCTATATGGCAGAATATAAAAATAGGCAGTCCTATCTTTATCATTTTTTCTTTTGGTATCGTTAATGTACAGTTACTTGAACATTATGGTTACTAGACTCCCCCTATTATCAAGTCCCCACCACATACCCCATCACAGCCACTGTCCATTAGCATAGTAAGATGCTATAGAATCACTACTTGTCTTCTCTATGCTATACTGCCTTCCCCATGACCCCCCTACATTAGGTGTGCTAATCATAATGCCCCTTTTTCCCCCTTATTCCTCCCTTCCCACCCATCCTCCCCAGTCCCTTTCCCTTTGGTAACTGTTAGTCCATTCTTGGGTTCTGTGAGTCTCCTGCTGTTTTGTTCCTTCAGTTTTTCTTTGTTCTTATACTCCACATATGAGTGATATCATTTGGTACTTTTCTCCACCTGGCTTATTTCACTGAGCATAATACCCTCTAGCTCCATCCATGTTGTTGCAAATGGTAGGATTTGTTTTCTTCTTTTGGCTGAATAATATTTCATTCTGTATATGTACCACAGCTTCTTTATCCATTCATCTACTGATGGACACTTAGGTTGCTTCCATTTCTTGGCTATTGTAACTAGTGCTGTGATAAACATAGGGGTGCATATGTCTTTTTCAAACTGGGCTGCTGCATTCTTAGGGTAAATTTCTAGGAGTGGGATTCCTGGGTCAAATAGTATTTCTATTTGATTTTTTGAGGAACCTCCATACTGCTTTCCACAATGGTTGAACTAGTTTACATTCCCACCAGCAGTGTAGGAGGATTCCCCTTTTTCCACATCCTTGCCAACATTTGTTGTTTGTCTTTTGGATGTTGGCCATCCTGATTGGTGTGAGGGGATATCTCATTGTGGTTTTAATTTGCATTCATCTGATGATTAGCGATGTGGAGAATCTTTTCATGTACCTTTTGGCCATATGAATTTCTTCTTTGGAGAAGTGACTGTTCAGCTCCTCTGTCCATTTTTTAATTGGTTTATTTGCTTTTTCTTTGTTGAGGTGTGTGATCTCTTTATGTAATTTGGATGTCAACCCGTTATTGGATATGTCATTTATGAATATATTCTCCCATACTGTACAATGTCTTTTTGTTCTATTGATAGTATCCTTTGCTGTACAGAAGCTTTTTAGTTTGATATAATCCCACTTGTTCATTTTTGCTTTTGTTTCCCTTGCCCAGGGACATATGTTCAGGAAGAAGTCGCTCATATTTATTTCCAAGAGATTTTTGCCTATGTTTTTTTCTAAGAGTTTTATGGTTTCATGACTTACATTCAGGTATTTGATCCATTTTGAGTTTACTTTTGTATATGGAGTAGGACAATAATCCAGTTTCATTCTCTTACATGTATCTGTCCAGTTTTGCCAACACCAGCTGTTGAAGAGGCTGTCATTTCTCCATTGTATATCCTGGCTCCTTTATCTTATATTAATTGACCATATATGCTTAAGTTTACATCTGGGGTCTCTAGTCTGTCCCATTGGTCTATGGGTCTATTCCTGTGCCAGTATCAAATTGTCTTAACTACTGTGGCTTTGTAGTAGGAACTTGAAGTCAGGGAACATAATCCCCCCTGCTTTATTCTTCTTTCTCAAGATTGCTTTGGCTATTTGGGGTCTTTTGTGGTTCCATATGAACTTTAGAACTATTTGCTCTAGTTCATTGAAGAATGCTGTAGGTATTTTGATAGGGACTGCATTGAATCTGTAGATTGCTTTAGGCAGGATAGCCATTTTGACAGTATTAATTTTTCCTAGCCAAGAGCATGGGATCAATTTCCATTTATTAGTGTCCTCTTCTCTTAGTAGTGTCTTTTAGTTTTCAGGGTATAGGTCTTTCACTTCCTTGGTTAGGTTTATTATTTTTTTAATATGTGACTTGATTCACCAGATTTTGAAATGCCCTTTTCCTGGAAAACCCAAAAT